GGTAACTGAAAGAATAGCTTGGTGTGGCCATCACTTCATGTCAGAAAATTCAGTTGTGAAAAGATTGCAGAGGATTTCACTGGCATTTCCATAGGTCAACCAGGGCTGGTGGGGGCAGGGTCAGGAGTAAGATGTGTTTACCTTCGTTAACCCTAAAGGCAAGAGAGACATAGATTGAATCTTGAGAGAGTTGGAGAATCAAACTTATTAATAACAGTAAGATACTCTAGTAAAGTGACCATTTAAAGTTTTCCCAGCTAACTTGATTTATATCTGAGTGTCTCCGGGCAAAAGTAATTATTTATCGTAAGTATCCTTAGTTGTTCCTCAACACTGTCTTAGGATGTACCATTCGGTATTTACCTAAGCAACTCTACAACTGTCCTAATTTTTTTGATGATGTATGTATATATATACACACAGTGTAAATAATTTATATTATATATCTTGAATTGAGGTATACAACTTTAGATTGTAAAGTAGAGAAGACAAACTAGACACTTGAGCTAACGAAGCCTGTAAGTAATTGATAGATTTGTCACATTGTACGATGTACCTAATCAATTGAGTTCATGTCGCACATGTTTAAGAGCAAGGAGTCAGTTTTCCTGAATTTGAAACCCAGTCCTATGAATTAATAACTACGCAACCTTGCCAACATGCCTAAATTCCTCTGAGCTTCAGGTTTTGTCAACTATAAAATAGAATAACAAATAATACCTGTCTCATAGAGTTGCTGTGAGGATTAAATATTTAACATGTGAAAAGCACTTAGAACTCTGCCTAGGAAAAAGTAATCATTTAATAAATGTTAGCTGGTATCTTTTTTTTAATGTGCTTACTTTATAAAGTGCTTCTCATGCAAGACTTGAGATATATAATGGATTGTCAATACAACTAAGAGTTTTGTATTTGTACATTTTGATAGAGCATAATTCCTGGTTCAGAGTTGGCATGCAGTAATTTTGCTAAGTATGTATGAAAAGATGACTAAAATATGCATGTGAAAATTATAACAAATGTCAATATTTATAATTTAAGGGAAAATGGTGACTGACACATCCTTCTGAAGACATTTCAATAGTTCAGGCTATTTAATGTACATTGATATACCTAGAGTTTTAGTAAAAGTACACGAGTTTGTGTTTGACATTAATTTTCATCTTCAATCTTATTTTAAAATGTTTATGCATTGAATTTTTCAGAATTTGAAAAAAATAATTTTACCACTGTTATCTGTATTATGAATCTATCCCTAGTACATTTTTTGCCCATGATCTCACCACCTTGATAACTAAGTCAAAAACAAATAGAAACTTTCAAACTGATAATTACAATGTCTTTTTTTCTTAGTATACCTACTATAGGAATAGCCATGAATTCTAAATTAGCAACCAAAGTTTGCTATTAACGTAAAAGCAGTCACATTCATTCTTCTTTTATCGTCACTAATAAAAAATCAAAAGCATAAAAATATAAAGCGACATAATTTGCCAAAATAGTTTTGAATTTTTGTTATAAAATATTTCAAACTTACTGAAAATTTTAGAACATACTGTGTAACAAATACTCATGTTCTTGCTGTGCAATTTTATCAACTCTTAACATGTTGCTATATTGGCTTCAGATTTTTTTTTAATAAAAAATATATTACAGGTACCCTGAAGCCCTCTGAAACCATTCCCCTGTCCACCTGAGATAACCAATAGAGTTTCACATCTAGAATTCCCACGCTGTCTTATGACATTAATATGTTTGTCATACATAGATACATGTAGGCATAAATAAATTACAGTATTATTTCATGTGATTTTAACTTTATATCATAATAACTTACTGTAGTTTTACTTCTGCAAATTATTTGCTCAAGGTTTTTTTTTTTATTGAAGTCTTGTCAGTTTACAATGTTGTGTCAGTTTCTGGTGTACAGCATAATGTTTCAGTCTTACACATACATACATATATTCCTTTCCAAGATTTTTTGATATTTATCTTGATATATGAAGGTATATTTTACTCATTTTAACTACTGCTTACATTTCATTGAATGAATATATTATACCTATTTCTTATTAACATACTACTAGGAACAATATTGCAGTGAATGTTCTTGAACAAATTCCTTATGTACATGTGGAGAATCTCTCTAGAGCTGAAGTAGCATAAGTGGAAGTGGAATTTTCTGGGTGCTTGTGTACACATAGACAGATTTTACTGTATTTAATAGAATATGTAGAAATGTTTACTTTCTGTGCATAGTCTATGAAAGTTCCTGTTTCTTTGAATCAGTGCCTATACATTTCCCCAGAATTATTCACACCTTATCCTGAATGACAAAATTGTCAAATCCTGCTCTTATTTGTGCACATTCGAGTAGGTTGGTTAGAAATGAGAACAGTGCTGCTTCATTTCTTAAAGTGGATTCAGTTCACAGGGGCTGAAATGTGAGGTCTTAGGAGACCCAAGCTCAGTGGTTCTCGATACATTAGATTGACCCAGGTCATTAAAAATTCTGATGCCCAAACCTCACCGCAGACCTACTAAATAAGCCTCTCCTTGGGGGTGAAGAGCAGGGAGATGTGGGAGCTGTGCTGCTGTCCCATCTCCCACCCTTGAACTCAGATCCCAAAGTGGTCCTAACATGCAATTAATGTTGGAAATTACTGTCCTTGTGTATGACTGATAAGTAAGAGAATAAAGCCAGAAGGAGAAGGAAAATAGTTGGCTGTAGATCCATCTGTAAAAGTGAGTGGTGAAGTGGAGCTTGATTCTCAATAGTTTCACCTGGAATGAGTAAGTCAGTCAGTGTCGGGGGAACAGGAGGCACTGCAGGACTTGGCCGTGCTCGAGACCCAGGAACGGAGCAAGAGCTAGTGTGCCCATAGCTGGGAATAAAACCACAGATCCAGGATCAGAATCCACTTCCTTAAGGGAAAGGCAAATTTTGAAGTCCAAACTCATGGAAGGACCCCAGACAAGTAGGTTTGTTTTCCAAGCAGAAAATTCAGAAAAAGCCAGTGATGGTTAGAGAAAGTCCTTGTCTGTGTGAACACCACTGGCTAGTAGTAGATAACAATAATTCCAACCCCACCAGCTGGTTGGTACCAGCTAGAGATGTTTTGTCAGACTTAATTAGAATAAGAATCATTATTTTGAAAATAATTTATGCTTTAATGTGTAGGATAAGAGCCTGTAACTTGTAGTCAGGGAGGGAATGGAAAAGTCAAGGATAAATTCAAATGCCCCAAGTTGTAAGGAAAGAGGGAAAGTTTTGATGCAATATAAGCTATTGACGTAAACCAATCATTTATATATAATTAAGATTGTTTCATAACTAGATTAAGAGTGTCAGAATATACTATAAATGTAAGGTAACAAATGTTCATGGAATCTCAGCTATAGCAACAGCCATTTTTCATCCCTTTCCTCAGTCAATATAGTTATTACAATTTTTACAAAAAAAGTGAAGAACTATTTGCCTTTGCTGGCATGATTAGTTACAGAACTACTGGAAGGTTAAACACCAAATTATTATGTATGAGACAAGAAGATATTGGCATTACTATATAGTTCATGTAATTATCTCACACATTCAGGAGAGAGTAAGTTTTCTAAAATTGTATTACGGTTAAAACATCTAAAAGCTTGTCTTTGAAAAAAAAATACCTTAGGGCAAATAAAACTAAAGGCATCCAAGATGTTTTTAAATTGTCATCGTGCATTCAACTTAAAATAAGTTTTAAGACATGAGGATGATGAGATGATTTTACACGATGATTCAAAACAAAGTATCTTTACAAGTCTGCGTGCCCTTCATGTTGACTATGAAGTCATCAGTTAAGGTGAATAATCAATCTTTCTTTTCTTCTAATTCAGTGCTGAGTACAAGAGAAGGACTAAATATGTTCAGAAAAGTCTTAATCCTGAGTGGAATCAAACAGTTATTTATAAAAGTATCTCCATGGAACAGGTATGCAATGATTATTTTCTATGTGACAGATTTAGGACAGTGATGACAATATTATTGGAAGATTGTGATCCATGTCCATTTTGCCATACAAACAAAAAAAAAATTCAATCTTTGCAAGAAAGGTAGCCAGTAAAAGGAACTGGGCGCAGCTCAAAGATACGGTGAAAGGAAATGTGCACATTTTGACAAAATGGATAAAAAATAAACCAAGTAAATAAAAGAAATAAAACTAGTGGAACATTTTCCATGGATTATTTCAAAATTAATTGTTTCAATAGACTGGACTGTGTTCATCATATCCTGAGGGAAAATATTCTCCAACTGGCTGTACTATGACTTTCATAAACAATACAAAGAAAAAAGATTCAAATGCACTGGAAGGGGTTATCCCACCAGGCAACCTTTTAGGAATCCTCTCTTCTCTAAATTGAGGCTTCCTAAGAATCCAGTATTGTGCAACCAAATTATACAGAAGAAAGCATGGCGATGACTGGCCTAAAAGATTATCACCACGAATAAGTGACTCCAGGCAAAACTGCATCCTTGGGTGTCTAAAAATCTTCATGTCATAACTTTGCATGAATAACAGAAAATAACTAATAGTTTATAAGGTTGAATTCAGAGAGAAAAGAATACAAATAGAATAGAAAAAAGAGATCCTTAAAAACAATTTACAAATGAACCATCTTTCAAAATGAGGTTTCTCATTTGCCCTCTGGAAGAGTTCTGGTTTGACTATGAAGCTGAAGCTGAATATAAATTGTATTCTGGGTTCTTGGATTTAAAATAAGTTAAATTCACCTGCTGAAATAAAACGATGCTACTGATGTTTTTTGGCCATTTACTGAAACAGAAAAACTATAATCCAAATATTTTATCTAAATAACCTAGACATTTTTGCAAGCAATGGTTAATGACATCTTGATTTGAACTCTAGCTCAAGAAGAAAACACTGGAGGTGACAGTCTGGGATTATGACAGATACTCTTCCAATGACTTTCTTGGTGAGGTGAGCCTATGATTTCATTTTCTTTATTTGCTTCATTGCAAACCACCAATTAAAGCTCGATGCAAAGCATGTTTCTTAAGTTTATAAGGTAACTGTTTCTGGATAAAATCCTTTTGGATTGACTCTTTGAATAGATGAACAGCAACTCAAGAAGTAGTTCTCACTTTACCACTTGAGGTACTTTATAGTTATTTAGCAAAATGAAATATTAATTGTTTTGATAAAAAGTTATATAATCATGTCCTGAATCCAAATTATTATGTTAAAAATTACAGCTAAATTTATTATAAAATAAGCTGTATTTTTTCAAGTACATTTTCAAGTTACTGCTATTCCTCACTGCATGTATGAATGATGTGATGTGACATTTTAGATTCTCATTTCATCTAAGTATCCCACAAAATATCCCCAAATGTTTTAAGAAGCAAAACTAGAAACAAGGGAAAACAATAAGAACATTTTTTATAAACTCATAAGGAATGTAATCTAATTAGGGAATCAAGCAGGATGCTCAGACCCTGTGATTTTTTTCCTTCATCTATCATATTCCAAAAATGCATACTACATTTAGTGATCTTTGCTTAGAACAGAAACTGTTAATTAATGTTAAAAAAAAAAGTAAATCCTCTCCGAAAATATATAACATCTAGAAAATATGATCTCCTTTTGATGGAGACAATAGGAAACAGCTTTGTAGTCTAGGTGACATGAGGCCTTACTTGGTTCCTACACTTGGTACCTCTTTACCATCAAAACTAGATCATTTGAGCTTCACTTGCAGGCTCCGTGTGGTACAGCCACTTGAACTAACCTTGGTCTTAGACAGGACTACTCCAGGATGTGCTGTTGTATCTGACTTCATGTCCTGTTTCTTTCAAAAAGCTGACTTACTGAAGTCCTTACAATTTCTTGTTTACATGAACCTCAAGCATATATCCATTGTGCTGTATTTCATTTTTTTATACTGATCAAAGATGTCAACTACCGTAAAATGCATCATTATTTTGTACCACTAAGAAAGAGAAAATGCTACCAATTAAACTATGACACAGTGCTTTCTTGTCATGAATTGTTGGTCGTATCCCTGTTTCAAATGTGAACCAAAGTATGTTTTAAAATAAAGAGAATAAGTTAGTAATTTCAAATTAGCTGTTTCCTTTTTCATTTTGTCCCGTTTGTAACTAAAATCATCTTTTAAAAAATGCTAGCCAAGTTTAGCAGTAGAATATGTCCATTTAGCAAAAGAAAGCTTTATTTCATAAAACAAACTCTAAACTTTTTGCGTCATCTCCAACTAATCTAATTAATAGTCAAAGATATTATAAAGTTCAATTTAACCAAATGTTTATAAAGCATCTAGTATGCACAAGGTGTTATTCCCAATATCATGACTGAAGAAAAATGAGGAAGACAGCCTTACCATCCTGAAGCTTATACTGTATCCTTTGACTCAACGTCCCTATGTAAATTCCAGATCACAGAGAAAAGTTCTGAATGAATTATAGCTTAGTCTATAAATTTCATTGACTTACTGTACTTTTTTTTTCAGGTATTGATTGATTTTTCTAGCACATCTCACCTCGATAACACTCCTAGGTGGTATCCTCTCAAAGAACAGACTGAAAGCATTGATCATGGCAAGTCCCATTCCAGTCAAAGCAGCCAGCAGTCCCCGAAGCCATCTGTCATCAAAAGCAGGAGCCATGGTATCTTCCCTGACCCATCCAAGGGTAGGAGATATTTCACATAGAAAAAGCTTGTGTCTGTTTGTTCACCCAGTATCTTCTTGAGTATGAATGCCTGTGTATTTAATGTCTTTCAAAATGTTGGATTCTGTTAGGAAATACTGAATATGGTATCGTGCAAGGAGTAAGGGGTATGGAATCAGGAGGAGTGGGCTTCAGTCTCAGATCTGCCCATAATTAGGTTGATGACTGTGATCTTCACCTCTCTGGCTCTATTTTTCAATCTATAAAGTGGAGGAAGTTGGGTTACATGAGCTATTGGGTCTTTTTCAGTTCTCAAAATCCATGATATTACAATTTTATAAAATGCATTGGGTATTTCGTATTTCATAAAGAAAACATAAAAATCTTCAGTAGTTCATTGACTAGACATAATCATCATTACCACATATGTATATCTCTTCTAATGTCTAAATCCCTGTTTTTTCACTGATATAGTCTTACTCATAAATTATGTATGTAATATATGGACAGTTTCGTGTTCTGCTTTTTATTTATATCAAAAACATTCTCCTCCTGTCATCAAGACAGTTGGTATGCTGAAATTTAAACCTTTCCTAAATGTTGGATTCAAACTAATTCTAATTTTTTTTAACTATTATTTTTTAAATTGCGATATCATTCATTGTGTTTGGCAAGATGCACCCCATTTCCATGGAAATAAGCTTTTCCTTTGGGAGATTCATTAACCAGTTACCCTACAATCTTCCTCATAAACCGAGTTACTGCCTCCACAAGGTAACTATGTAGTATCTTTCCAGGATATGCTAAACTATTCACAAGTATTAAATATAAATTTTTATATTGGGCCTGAGCATCACTTCCTTTTCACCTCTTTTCGGGAAGTACATCAGATTAGAAGTGGTTCTTTGCAGTTTGGATCGGAAACGCAAGTCTTCTAGGAGATGGACAACTGAGGTCGTGTCCAGGAGGCCACTGAGTTGATAGGATAAACAGCTGACTACAATAAGCGCTCTCGATTAGTTATGGGTTTTACAGATCATTTATGGATTCCCCTGAGCCAGATCGACTCTACCCTGATTTACATTCTGGAACATCCTTGGTATAAAAACCTCTGTCTCTATGACTACCATAGTAAATGTGTGATCTACATATACATTCTCTAAAATCACCTGAGATGATGATAATGCAGTCTCCACTTGCATATATCCTAATGACTCATACCCCTTCCTCCAGGAATTCACTCCATTTTTACTTAAAACTCCTCCGCGGCAGGGTCCACCTCCTGTTTCTTGCCTGGTCCGTACTAGAATTAGCAGAGTTGCCTGGTGAAACTGTAAGTTGATACATTCATTTACATGCGGATACTCCAAGTGTATTCCTCTTCTCAGACATCTCTTCTCAAGATTATCATCTTCTTGCCTTTCCTCCCCAAAATTGTCTCCCAAATGTTTCACCACATTGCTGTATGGCGGGCAGTTGCATCAAGGAGCCAAAAAAGAAACCGAATTAACATCGAATTAACATAAATCTAAGACAGTTTCAAATTATGTGAGACCAAGCTTGACAGGAGGAATGCCGGAGCAACTTTAACTCGTGTTTTACCCTTTTGTAACCAGACATGCAGGTTCCCACCATTGAGAAATCCCATAGTAGCCCCGGTAGCTCGAAATCCTCATCTGAAGGTCATCTCCGCTCTCACGGACCATCCCGCAGTCAAAGCAAAACCAGCGTCACTCAGACCCACCTGGAAGACGCGGGGGCTGCCATAGCCGCTGCCGAAGCCGCCGTGCAACAGCTCCGCCTTCAACCAAGTAAAAGACGCAAATAAATTCCTCAGCATGGCAGCTTAGTGTTCATCTGTTGCCCTTCCTTCCCGCTGTCCTCCTCCGTTTGCTTTGTTTGGGGCATACCCTGCTCACTCTGTTCCCTGTCCTTTTGTCTGTGTAAAAACACTATCAATACAGACATATGCTCTTTCTCATGTAGATTTTTTTTTTCCCAATTCACGTAGACCGAAATGAAACTGGCTGTTTCTCCGTTGTCTCTACTCTCCATCCAACCTGGCTCATAGTATTCGGTAGCTGTGTCTGTGATGTTTGCAGGCAAAGCCATGTTGTGTGTCCTTTTTATGTGCGCTTAAAAATCCTTTCGAATCTGGGAATGATGATAAGCACAAATCGCTGCCGATTTTCCAGGCATTACACTGAAAAAACAAAAAAAGAAAAGCACACACATGAGCATTTAGAGAAGATTAGCAATGAGAGTCTCGCCTCTAGAAACGCTGAGGAATTTTAGGCAGAAGAGTAATGTGACCAACAGTCAAGTTCTAGAACCTAAGGGAAATGGAAAAGCCATTTCCAGCTTAAAAACTTTAATGAATTATGCATCTGAAATGATGTAGCTCTCCATGTGAGAAACTATCTAGTCTTCTGAAGAAAAAAAAAATCAGTGAAGACAATCATGCTGCTTATCGTCACAAAGAAGTATGTAGTCTTAATATATGTCTAAGCAGAGGCGATGAGGCAGTGTAACTTCATCAAGGAGCATAGGTGGGTCCATTCTGTTGGATCACACTCTGCATAGGATACCAGAGAATTTATAGGGTTATTTTTTTCTAACCACTGGAAATCCTTTGAAAGTCAAGATACCAGTTAAAGCGTACCAATTCACCCATCTTAACTGCTGTAATTTCAATGGATGGCATTATATAAAAACTTAGTAAGTACAGAGACTTTAAAAATGAAGGTGCCAAGAAGAATTAGTCAAACAACGGAGACAGATTCATCTTCTCCCCATCTCCCAAAGTCGTCATTTCCAAAGAAACAGCCAGTTTTAACCCCCTGTAGTGCTGTGCATGCAGTGTCATTTTGGCATTTGAAAACACAACTTATTTCCAGAGAGCGAAAGAGCACTTCTGTTTGCATGACTAACATTCAAGCTGGTTCCATCTGAGGATACATACTCTGGGTTTCCATTTCACCCACACTGCCACAGCAGCACATAAAAGCGGTCAGTCTAATCATGCCAGGAAGCAGCACAGACACAGCATAGCAGGAGTCCTCCCCATTCAAAGAACTCAGTCTGATAATCTGCCTCCACCAGCCAATGGCAACCAAGACCAAAGCCAGCTAGCCCTCAGGAAGGTGATGTCTGATGGACCAGTCAAGCCAGAAGGAGGTGAGCAGAAAGGCGCTATTCAAAGCACACAGCAAGAACATCCCCCAAATTTAAAGCCCTCATCTTTTAATTTTTAGCAATTGTCTGATGCAATGTGTTTATCCACTTTTTAATGTGCTTTTGTGGGCATGGCATTTCAGGACTTCATCATCATCGTGTTAAGTCCCAAGATCGGTCCCATAATATATTGACTACAGTGATTTGTATTTTTCTATGCACTGGGAATCTTTTGACTTTTGTTGGGAAATAGATTAACAGTATTCATATTGCAGAATGGAATGCATGCTACTAACCTAATCTGTTCAAGCATGACTATCAATATGTTGCATTGTGATAAAAGTTTAAACTGCTCACAATTCGAGTTAGCATACCAGTTGGAATGTAGATCAGTTTTGTCAAATATTATTTCAAGTGTAACTTTTTAAAAATTCAGTGGATTTTTGAACTTCTTAGAGGAAAGTAAAGGGGAAAAAATTGTTAATGCACTCGTTCACCTTTACATGGTGAAAGTTCTCTCTTGATCCTACAAACAGTCCTTTTCCACTCATGTTTCCGTAGCTGTCAAGTGTATCAGATGTGTTGGGCATGTGAATATCCAAGTGCCTGTGTAATAAATAAAGTATCTTTATTTCATTCATAAACTGCTGGGTTCTGAGCCATTGTTATATAATGCAGCTTAAAATGATTGTGTCAGTTTTTGCTTTCTCATTTGATCCCTTGCAATAGAGAATATATAGTTACTGTTCCATTGCTAGTGAGAGCTGTAATGATAGAACGTTTGGTTGCAGGACAAAGTTTCATGTCTGAAACATCATAAGGTAGATGGGAAATTATCACCAAATGAAAGCACCAGAGCTTACAGAAATGTGGAAAGAAATAACGGGGTTGGGCTACTCTAGGCAATGCCTCCACTGTTTCTTTCTCCTGCGTCTGATCTACTTCGCAATCTTCTCAGGTTCCTGGATAGAGGAAGACAAATCCTCTGAGCTTGGCTCTGGACATGCATCTAGACTTGATTCCATAGCTGTGTTCAGAAAGGAAAGCAAGTTAATATCTGTCCCTAACCTGACCCCAACATTTGTGATGTTTTCCCCAAGAAAGAGGGTCACTCACTGCCAGTGACAGGGATCAAACCAGGGTGATTATGAAAGTATCTCCATTTCAATTTCAGAAACCTATATCAAAGAAAGATTAAAAAACTAAAGATAGCAGTGTTTGCCCCTGTAAGTCCCTTCCAGTCCTGAAACACTTGACTTTATGATTCTGTTCTTTCCACAAGACTCAAAGTGAAGCCTCGTGCTTTCCTATTGCGTTCCTCTTTATTCTCAGAAAATGTAAAAATTTACTATGCTCTTGTCCCAACTAATCCGATATTTGAGAGGAATGCAAGATGTACGTGACAGTACAGAGTGCAAACCACTGTGATGTGTCTTGAATTCGCAGGCAATTAAGGAAACAATTAGCTTAAATATTAGGATAATTCTGATTATGCATTTACTCAGCCCAGTTTACAGATGACCAGCAAAGCACAACTTCCCTTTTCTAGTTAGCCCCAGGAGTACTTTCCAAGAGTACTTAAAATTCCGCCTCTCACCTTTTCTCCCATCAAATAAGTTCAGTTGATTTCTTAATGTTACTCATTTTCTTACTTCAAATGTTCTATAATTATAAATGTCACAGTATTCAAATGCTTCCCTATTTCACTCTACTTTTAATTATCATGATTTAAGTATTACTTTATGCTATTTTGTCTGAGTTTTTCCTCGATGTGGGTCTTAAAATTTGCGGCGAAACGTTTTCAGTTCCCTTTCTTTGAATGACGCTCGAGTGGATATTCTCATCCGTTTAGAATAGTTCTTCACATTGTGCAAAATGTCCGTGACCCATTTTCTCATTCGATCACGCCCAGTGGATGAAGGATTGGTTGCAGATATTCTTACTTCTGTTTTGAGTGAGCCGTGGAGTCAGAGGGCCAGCACGGCTGATGAGGAACACGCAGCTAGCAGTCAGAATTGCACTATAACCCATGTCTTCTTCCTGAGTCTAAGCCTTTGCCTTTTAAGTACCTTGGCGCCTTTGAAATCAAACTCTCCTGGTTTCACTGAAAACAATTGTCATTTGCTTCTTTGCTATTTACATGTGGGTCCTTATTAATGATGAGAGGTTGCTGGAAATGATGGCAAAATGCAACGTATGCTCACTTTACCTACTTGATCCTCTTTTCTGAAGGCTGATAATTAAGCTGCCACAAGCCAAGGAAATAAAACCCCAGTCGCTGCACCAGCCCAGTGCGGCAGCGTGCGGGCTCTGCCGAGGAGCTGTGTGTGAGTCTGTAGTCATTTCTCTCAAGAGTGACGAAATTGTCCCTGAAGAGCTTTCCATATTTTTCCTGTGTGAGCCTCTCAGCAGATTTCTGCTTGAAGTAGCATAAAATATGGGTCAAGCAAGAATTACGGAGTGAGCCAGAGGAAACTTTTTGTCTCCCTCCGGGGTTTAGTTGCATGCTAGGAAACCTGAGGGGAAGGATTAGACAGATTGTGCCAGACCATCCTGATACCTAAACAACCCTCTGTTGGTATTTAGAAATCCCCGGAAATGCTTTTTTTCCAGGCCAGTTGGTTTAGTTGAATACAGGTCCGGCCATTGGAGACGGTAAAACCAACCAGGGAAGAGAGTTTTAAAAATAGGTTGTTTTTTAAAAAACCACCAAAGCTAAAACAAATTGAAGTCTTTTTTAAACCTTAAAAATTAATTTAGTTGATAATTGAAGATATTCCATTTTAAGTGCATTTTGAAATTGCTCAGCTATTTTTGTTATATGCTAAGATTTTAGGTGAGTTTTAAGTTTAGAAACACGAATGCAGGATGGGAAGAAATAGCCCTCCACCCCGGGCAATAGGATAGGAGCTGCGGGGACAGCTTTGGAGAGCTGAGCTGGGACGGTGAACCACTGGCTGAGTTGTGTGCAGGAACTATGGCTGAGGGTGCCTTGTTGTGGCTGGAACTGTAGGGAAAGCCTGAAGCTACTTCCACTGTTGGAATTCCATGTAATTCCACAGCTGCTGGAAACTCCAGTTTCAGTAAGGCTCCTTTGCCGCCCCTGTCAAAGAAGAGTTTCCTATCCATCTTCCCGTGGTGAACTCTGACTGAGCCATCTCTCTGTGGCAGCTGCTCTCTTGGGCAAGTGGCAGTGGGTGGCTGGGTTGGGAAGCAGGGCGGGCACTGGACGTGGGGAGAACTGTTGGTTCCAAAGGCAGCAGCTGGTCAGTGTCCCAATCTCTGCTGACCGGAAATAAATGGTCCATTTCGGTCAAAAGGAATTTAGCGTTCTCTGTTTCTGAAAAGGAGAGGGTCCAAAAAGGAAGTAAAGGAGAAATCAGAAGAAATGAGTTCATTTGGGGGTGAAGTCATCTATAACATATGTCAGAAGTTAATAAAAACAGACTTTTACATTCCTCATTTCAGTGTGTTCGTTGTAAAGAAAACTTTACAAATGAGACTTTGGGATAGTTTAAAATAAAAAGAAAACAAACTAATGATGTGAAAATAGCCAATATCCAACAAAAGCCTAAGAAGATCAAATTGGATTTTTGCTTTCAAAGATATATGCCTGTTTCTCTGGGGACAAGGGTTTTCTTTCTTTGCTGTCTGTGAAAATCAAAATATTCTGCTCAAGTTTTTTTTTTTAAGAGTTTCCATATTTTCTTAGAATGATTTGAGTATGCATTTTCAGACGTTTCCGTAGTCATTTAACATTCATTGCCAGAAATCTCTCTGCTTCACATGCAGAGTCACAGATCATAAATGTACAGCTCTGACCGCAGGACACTGTCTCTTGTTTCTGGACCTTCATTCTCAAAGGGGAGTTCACTGATCTACCATCAACGGGGACTTTTGTTCTTTTTGAGTCTGCACTAAGCCATCCACATAAGGTATTTCTGGTTCATGCTGGGGACTTGTGTGTTCATTTCATCTGACCTGAATAGCAAGACTGGCTCTATCTACCTATCAGACTTGGCTTCAGTAGTGCTCTGCCTTAGTCACATGATGTAGCTATGGGCCTATCTAATTGGGTGGGATGATTAATACATGACCTGATGGGGGAGGGGATAGCTCAAGTGGTAGAGTGCATGAGGTCCTGAGTTCAATCCCCAGTACCTTCTCTAAAAAATTAAATAAATAAACCTAACTACCTCCCTCCCTCCCCCCGCCAAAATAAAAAATTAAAAAACCATGATCCAGGAAGGGAAAGGCCTCATTTTTAACATGCCAGAATCCCTTAAGTGCTATTTAGGGCATGTCTAGACTTTAACAAAGGTAAACTTCCTTTTTTAAATGTAAGTCATTTTACTTTGGGTTTGAGCAAATTTATTTTCAAAAAGTTAATTTGTCAAATTCCCAGCAGAGAGCAGGTCCCTGAGGAAATGAGACAGGCAAGTAAATACCGATGGAGGAAGGACACATGAGAAGGGACGTGGTGCAGGACCCAGGGCGGAGGGCACAGTCTGAGCTGGGGGCTGGGGAGTTGTCACCTGGGTGGGAGGGGCCACGGAACCAGGGGAAATGCTCCCCCGAGGAGAGGAGGAGGGAAGCCAAAGGCACTGTCTGGCTACTTCCCAGTGTGGCCTAAGTCCAGATATCTACCCATGAATTACTTGATTTTTTCCCACTTCCACCCAAATGTATTATATTATGTAAAATCATGCTATTTCACCCATTCGCTGTTGTGTAAGATAATCTTTGGGGGGAAAGGAGGATGAAGTGAAAGGAATCTTTATGTGTAATGAGCCAGACTCTGAAAAATCGCCTTTTTTAAATTTCATTACTTTGTTGAATGTATAAATACGTGTTTTAATCGTTGAGGTGCCAAAAAACACTTTAGGATTTTAAATGAAAACATACTATGTCAGAAATGTATTGATTGGAGCATTGACTTTTTTAGATGCAGAAATAGGAATAATGTAGATAGGATTTATAACCTCAGTATGTTTTAAAATACT